TCTTGATATTGAGACACAATCCATACTGAAGGCTGCATTCTTTGATCTTCTGCAACAAGTGCATCAAGTCCTCCTCTTCACTTTCAGCAAGTAAGGTTGTGCTATCTGCATAACACAGGTTATTGATGAGTCTCCCTCCAATCCTGGTGTCACATTCCTCCCTTGGTACAAGCAGTCAGAAAATATGGAGATGCATTGCCATGGGGAAAATCTGCAGTTAGAGACCTTTGCAAATTTTTGAGAAGTAGTGATGTCAGTTTGAGGACTAAGGTGCGTTTGATTCAGACCATAGTCTTTCTGGTTACTAGCTATTCATCCAAGATCTGGACAATGAATAAGGATAACAGAAAAAGAATTGATGCCTATGAGCAGTGGTGTTGGAAAAGAGCACTGAAAATCCCATGGACAGCCAAGAGAATGAACAGATATGTCTTGGTTATGGTGCAGCCAGAATGATCTTTGGTGGCCAGAATGATGAGGCTTCACCTCACATACTTCATGCATGTTCTAGGAGGTGCTATTCCTTGGAAAGGGACATGATGTTGGGAAGGGTGGAGAGTTAGTAAGAGAGAAGACGACCCTCAACCAGGTGGATTGACACGGTGACTGTTGCATTGGGCTTTTGTGTGTAAAAGTGTGAGGACGGTGCAGGACATGACTGGGTTCAGATCTTTTGTTCATAGGATTGCTATGAGTCATACTTGACTCATGATGGCACCCAAGAACAACACTACATTGTATTTCAGGATAGAACTTTAAATTGACATTTTTACTATGAATGCAACACCATTCTTCTGTTTTTCATTCCCAGCCTTAGTAAACCATGTGATTATCTGATTCAAAGGGCCAAAGCTAGTCCATCTCATCTCACTAATGCCTAGGGTGTTGATGTTCATGCATTCCATTTCATGTTTCGCAATTTCTAGTTTTCTAACATTCAAGCTATGTTCATTCCATGTTCCAATTAATAAAAGATGTTTGCTGTTATTCCTTATTTTGGCCCACTTTCAGTCTGGGATGGACCTCTAATACTATGAGTATTTGTGTTACTTTTCTGTTCATTGGGTTTTCAGAGGCCTGTTATTTAAGAAGTGGGTGGCCAATTCTGCTTCCTACTCTGTTTCAGTCTAGGGTATCTACTAATAGCTTTCCACCATGGGTAACACTTGTGGCATTCGACACACCAGTGACATCGCTTTCAGTATCATGACAACCCACAAGTTATCTCAGTACAGCAAATTGACAGACAAGTTCTGTACCAATTATAACAATGTTTTCTCCAAATAAAACAAACTGATTGTTTGAATTTGTACAGAGAGTTGGACAGTGACTAAGGAGAATAGAAGGAGAATTGATGTCTTTGAGCCGTGGTGCTGGAAAAGAGTATTGAGGGTACCATGGACTGCTAAGAAAACAAACAGATTGATCCTGGAAAGGGTTAAACTGGGCTGCTCCTTGGAGCCAACGATTCTGAGGCTTCATCTGACATACTTTGGACATGTTGTAAGAAGGGACAGACAGGTCCTTGGAGAGGGACATCATGCTTGGGAGGGTGGAGGGACAGCACAGGAGAGGAAGGCCATCTATGAGGTGGATTGATTCAGTGACTGGGGTAGAGGTGGATTGATTCAGTGACTGGGGTAATCAGGATGGGTGTGTCAGAGACAGTGCAATTGGCACAGGACAGAACAGAGTTTAGGGCTGTTGTACATAGAGTCGCTATGAGTCGCAAGAGACTCGACAGCACATAACAACAAGAACAGCAAAAGCAAATTAGTCTTTACACCAGGCCCAAGGGCCACAGGTCCACAGGCCTAAGGACTCAACCAGCTTTTAATCACAAGTCTACCCACTGTGTCCTAGTTGGTTTAAACAAGAGGCTCCCACTGATTGTTAATTAAATAAAAAAGACCAAACAGCTCACAACTGACTGACCATTCATTCATTACTACCAAATACTTTGATATAATGAGTGCTTCATATATAGGCTCAGAACAGTACTCTTAGGGAACATTGAGGTCAACTGACAGTTACATAGTCCTCAATGACAGTGTTCTCCTACTTACTTTGGTGAGTAGTGCCTAGGAGTTTCTAACTTAAAAGTGGCAATCTAAGGTACAACAGTTATACTATTTCTATCTGCAGAAATTAAAAAAAAATTAAAGAAAATCAAAGATACATAGAAAAAGTTAGTCCAGAGGACTAATGGACTACATAAACCACCACGTCTACAACTCTGAGATAAGAAGTAGAGTGGACCTGCTGGCTTCACTGACAGGGCGTTCTCTCTCTCTCTCTCTCTCTCTCATGGTGTAGTCTGTAGGAAGTTGTGCTGCTAACCCAAGCATGGAATAAGTCTTGCATTTGAACCCAACAGCTGCTCCATGGAGAAAGATGAGCAATCTGCTCCCATGCGATTTACAGCCTCTTGAAAGCCCACTACTAATCATTGCCACAAAACAAATTGTATGTGGGGGAAAAAAGACCAAAAAAAAAAATGCAAAAAAAAAGACCACCAAAATGTGTGTGTTGTTGAATGAAAAATCTGTTTACTCAGTAAACTTTTACCCAAATCATAATAAAAAGTTCTAAATAAAGAAGAACTGAAGAAATAGATACTGTCATTTACCCGAAAGAAGTGTTTTCTTGACATAAAAAAATAATGTAAAGTGTTAACTGTGGAGAAAAAAAAACCCAGAAACAAAATGAAAGCAAGTTTTATCCAATGTTTTCAAGTTTTCTAGAATATTCCATTTATATTATGCTACCTTTGTTGTTGACAACAGCAACAACTAACAGTATTATGCTACTGTTAGCATTATTTTATAGTACTCATACATCTTCATTCATCACTGTCCTTCATCTGGATGACCAAAGTGCCTAGATAGACTGGTCCTGAGATTTGCATTAGATTTAGGTATCCTTCGTAATCTAGGAGGTAACTTTGGTGCCCTGGTGTTAAGGAGCTGCCCTGCCAACTGGGAGGCATATGATTCAAATCCACCAGTTGTTCTGCAAGGGAGAGATGGGCCATCTCCTACTGTAAAATTTATTGTTGTTGCACCTAGTAATGAGACACTTACTCTCTTACAGATTATTTCTTTATTTCTTTGCCCAAGGTTGTTGTCTTCCATACAAAGAGAGAAAAGCAGTCCTTTACCAATTAGTCAGACGTTTTATATGATTTCAGAGCCAGTGCTATCGGCTGTGGCAGCTTTCTGCATGAAGCTGGCACATCTGTTTATCAGCATGCCATCAGTAACTGCATTTCTTCATGCTGACCTGCCACACCTGTACATGCAAGTGGTTTTACAGAAGCCAAAACAAGCACAGGAAGGAAGAAAACAAAATTCAAAATTTTTAGGCAGGAGGTTAGCAGGGCTTAATATGGCAGTACTCATGTCAAGCTGACAATCTCAGGGTGCCTCAATTGCCTCTAAAACCCCCCTAGGATCAACAATGAGTTAGTTCTGACTCCATGGCACACAACCGCCATAATCTAGAAATCAAAGGAATCAATTCATTCTTAGATACGTAGTGTGCGCCAACCCTGAGTAAAACAGATGTGATCATTCTACTCAAAGACCCAAGTGAGATAAAGACAGAATAAACCAAGGATTAAGTACCATATAGAAAAGACTGGAATTGAACTTGGAGTTTGAGGACTTGCTTGAAACAGAGCATTTGAATTTCATTTTTGAGTTGCCGTCAGTTGTAGTGCTTATATGCTCTTCAGATGACTTTCATTTATAGTATCTAAGGTTCCAGGACAATGACTAAGGAGGATAGAAGGAGAATTGATGCCTTTGAGCTGTGGTGCTGGAGAAGAGTATTGAGAATACCATGGACTGCTAGGAAAACAAACAGATTCGTCCTGGAGAGGGTTAAACCGGGTGACTCTTTGGAGGCAAGGATTCTGGGGCTCCATCTAACATACTTTGGACATGTTGTAAGAAGAGACCGGTCCTTGGAGAAGGACATCATGCTTGGGAGGGTGGAGGGAGAGCGCAGGAGGGGAAGGCCCTCTATGAGGTAAATTGACTCAGTGACTGGGGTAATCAGGGTGGGTGTGTCAGAGACAGTGCAGTTGGCACTGAACAGAGCAGAGTTTAGGGCTGTTGTACATAGGGTCGCTATGAGTCGCAAGTGACTCAACGGCATATAACAACAACAACAACAAGGTTCCAGGAGCTCTGAACTGGTAGGTAGCCTAGTGCATGCTGCCAACCCAAAGTCAGGTATTTAAAATCCACCAACTGCTCCTTGGGGAAGAAAGGTGGGCAGTCTCCTGTGCAGTTTACAGCCCAGAGGCTGTAACTCATTGGAAGATCAGCTGTATATGATAACAATGTTTATCTAGTGTTCCAACTAAAACACAGGATTTTTTTAAATAAAAAAAACCAAACTTTTATATTGACTTGCTTAAAAACTTCTTATACATGGTGTTTTCACCCTATTCTTCATTCACATTGTAAAACATTTTTAAGAGTCGTTCCAAACTAATCCAAAAGTACAATCTTTGGAGATGAGTTCTGGGAAAATTTGGAGTCTACATTTCATCTAAGATTCTCTGTCTCCTTCCCCTCCATGGCTTACCTCCTCCATCATGTTTCAGAGTCTATGGAAGATGGCAGTTTTTGTTTTTAATGATTTTTGTCACTACACAGCAAGTAAATAAATAATCAGATTTGCCTTCCTCTAGTTTTGATTTCAAGATTAAGGACCAGTCTGTTGAGGGACCATAATTTGACTGTGAGGCAATATTGTAATTGATTAGTGCCATGTTCACAGGGTGGAAAAGGTATTGCCACTCCTGCTTTTCAAACCCCAAATCTTGACATTCTTTTGAAAGTGGACTTAGTGAGCTCTATTTATCTACAATTCTGAATATAACATTTTCAGAGAAGGGCTGGACAGATAAACCTCTCATAAAATTTCTTTGTTGGTCCATTTCAGATGAGGTGGTGGAGCAGAGATCCGGTTCCTCAACACCTCAGCGTTCCTGTTCTGCTGCTGGTTTGCACAGACCGAGATCAAGTTTTGATTCCACGCCTGCAGAGAGCCATTCGCTTTCCAGCTCTCTCACTGGCTCCTTGACTGGGAGCTCAGTGTCTTCGGTTCCGCCTCGCCTGGGCAGCCACACCATGGATTTTTTTGAAATGTGTGCCAGTTTGATCACTACTTTAGCTCGTTGACAATCTGTCTCTAGTCTCTGTCTTTCTGTTATCGCACTGTGAAAATCAGATATAGTCTTGAAATGATTACTGCACTCACTACTGGATGTCACTTACTCTTCGATGCTAATTGAGAGACTTCAGTATCTCCAGGGGACAATCAGTGCCATTGAAATGACTGAACAAAAAAAAAAGTATGACATGTTATTCATCTGTTAAAATCTATTATTCTGTTTTGCCTATGGTGAATTCACATAGGCAGCTTCTTCACAAGGTGAACGATGATGCAGACTGTTAATCTGTTAATTTAAAATTCTGAGTTCAGTGATTCACACACCTTCAGTGATGAGCCATCTCAAGCTCAGCACTTGGCAGCACACCCTTCCTTTACTGTTTGCTGTTGGTAAACCCCGTTTCTTTCCTAAACTTCAGCAGGCTTTAAGCTATGTGTATGTCCTCAACTCTTTTACACAGATAAAGATAACCAACCACTAGTCAAATAGCATTTTAATGATGAAATCCCAAATACTGTCACCAAAATTTCAGAGGCCAAATTCCTCTAGCAGTTGTTTTTTTTTTTAAATACTGCTTAATAGTCAGTGGAAGGTCCTTTAACAGGTAACTACAATTTCATATATATTTTAAAACAGGTGTAATCAACTCAGGGTTTTGAAATCTCCCTGAGCTACATATTTATTCAGGATTGGAACATCTCCATAGCCCCCAGCCTTCCTTAGCCACCACTGTCTTTCTTTGTTCACTGTTTGATCCTCCATGGCTGAATGATTTTGCTTTTCAACCTTTTCTGGCTCTTTTTCCTTTTTTTTTTTTTTTAAATCTTGGTTGCTAATCATTCAATTTGAAAACACTGTTCTGGCCCTAAGGGCTTTTGTGTCCTTCCAAAGCTTGATGGGCTGTGACCTTCACTGTTGAACCTGATAGGGCAGGGAAGCCTTAAACATTTTTAAATAATTATGTCTTGAATAAATATGTGTCGTTTACATATAAACATATATGTATGCACACAACTAGTGCTTTTAAAGAAAAACCAAACAGGTTTTTGTTTGTTTTGCTTTGTGCAGGTTATTTTTAAACAAACAAAAGAAAACTATACACAGAGTAGATAGCAGCTCAATAATTACCTTGTGTTTTAGTAAAAGTATTTAATTCTTAAATTATGTGTAATTTATCTAATTTTTATTTATTAATTTGCTTAATATGTTATAGCTAACTATTACATTCATCATATTTACCCAGAACAGATGAAGCACTTGAAAACAAAAGGTAACATTGCCTTGACAGGCTTATCTTTGCCAAAAAAAAAAGTGTGTGTTTTCTACCAAGAATCAAATAAGAATGTTAGACCAAATTTTACTTATATTTATTTCTGAAAGATGATTATTTCTATCTTTAAATAGTATTTGAATGTAGAGTTTGCAGTGTGTCACAGACAACATTCTGCTTTGTAGAACTTTAAAAAAATGGTGTTAAGTAACTTGTAAGTTGAACTTAATATTAAAATAAAAAGAATCTTTAATCAGTTTGGGGAAGAGGTTAGGGATTACAGGTTTGAGATCTTTTCTTTTTAACCTTCAAAAGATTGCCATCTAGTGGCCTCAAGGGGTACTTTCTTAGTGACTTATTTTTTTACCCCCCAAATGAGCGTAAGTGGTCCTCTCTCAATGGAAACTAACAACTGGCAGGCTTCTTGGAGTCACTGGGTGGTGTACACAATTAAGTACCCCATTACTAGCTGGAAGTTTGAACCCACCCGAGGACCCCATTGAGCTTTGCTGGCTTGGTGGTAAGAAGTTGCCTTTCTAACTCAAAGGCAGTTGCTCCACAGGAAAAAGATGGACAGTCACCTTCTGTTCAATTTAATGCCTCTAAAAACCTGCTGGAGGGTCAACTATGAGTTGGTTCCTACTTGACAGTACACAACAACGCCAACAAAGGCACCTTGGGAGATAGACCTCTGATCTGCTTCCCAGAAGTCACACTTAGCCTTAAAAGTCCTATGGAATAGTTCTCTACACAGTTGGGCCGCCATGAGCTGGAGCCAGTTGGGTGACAGCTCACAGTAACATTCAGACCAATGGCTTTTTTCTGATATTCATTACAGTTTAGTAGTGATTTCTTCAAATTCATATATAACTCTCTTGGGGAAAATTAGGGCCGCTTCATAATATCTATCCATGAAGGAGATGACCTGAGAAAAAAAGGATTTAATCAGATTTCATCCCCAAGTATAGCATCTGCAGTTTTAAAGGTGAAGAACAAGCAGGAAAAAAAAAATCCAGTGGCATTTTAGCTTAATTAGTCTAGTGACGCAAACGTTAGAAACTTGATTGTATAAAAAGTACTTTTTATATGGATGAGTATTGTTGTTATGTTCCTTCAAGTGGGATCCAACTCCTAGCTGACCTTCCAGCAGATAGATTTTCAGAGGCAGTAAATTGCCTGGGAGGAGATTGTCCATCTTCCTCCTTTGGGGAAGTTGGTGGATTAGAACTATGAACTTTTGCATTGGCTTCATAGTTCCTTACCACTAAGCCACCAGAGTCCAAAGGCTTAATTTTGGTTCTTAGGAAATTTTTAAAGAATAGCAATTCTGTGAATCTAGATGGTATAGGAAATTGGTTTGTACAGAAACCATAATAGATTTAGCCTAGTACAATAGATTTTTGTTGTTAATAGCAGGAAGAAGGAAAGGATCCATTACTAAATCAAAATTACTCCCTACATTTCAGTTTATTGTGGATGTGGGTAGATAAATATGGAAAAGTAATCCAGTTAAGGTTTTGAAAACCCACTGACTCCTAGTGACCCTATAGGACAGGCAGAAGTGTCCATCGACTTTCCAGACTTTACAGTCACAGATTGCCTCATTTTCTTCCCTTGGAATGGCTGGTGAGTTTGAACCATTGACCTTTTGGCTAGCAGCTGAGTACTCTAACCAAAGCTCCTAAGATTCTAGAAGAAAGCTACTGTTAAGTTATAGACAAGGCTGTAGTTATGTCATGAAAATGAACTTGTTTGCTTCTAGACTATTTTTTCCAAATTGTACACCACAAGATGCTCTGCCAAAAAATATTATTCCATTGAATATGCTTGGATTACATGCTACACTCCTATCTGAGGATGAAGTCCTTCCAGGAGAACAAACCTATTTAACTTTATTTAAGCCAGCTTCTCTGAAATTCATTTAACCATAAAAACAATTTTTAAAAATTTATGGCAAATTTGGAAAACTTCTTCTTCATAAAAATTGCAGTCTTAGGTTAGTATACTTTAGGACAGTTAGGAATGAAATTAAGATAGCATTTCCTTTGTTTTCCTTGAATCAGTTTTTAGAGAGACTGTAGTTCAGAATCAAAATTACTTTTTATAAGTTGAGAAAATTCATCTTGAGCACATGTTATTCACTTGCAAACCTGATTTACTTAATCAAGTGTTGGCAGTGTCTGGAAGAAGTTGAGTATTTGATGAATGAATGAAATTCTTAAACAAGATTATTTGTAAAAAGGAGTAAGGGGTTGAGACTCTTTCGTATAGCTTTATAGGTAATAGTTTGAGACTTTAAAAATTTTTACTGTTAGTGGACAGCTGTGCAATTATTTTTTTATTAGATACAATTAGATCTAATTACCTGTTACCCTTTATTGTAGGAATAGATTACTTTTCAAGGTCAATATGTGATGCGGGCCATAGTTAGATGTGTTTTGTTTTGATCAGTGAATCTTCTAACAGACCCCTTTTTAAACCCTAGTATTTGTATTCTTTGATGCCAGACATCTATGAAGAGAACTCAAGGGTCTAGAAATAATAACAAGTTATTTCTTTCTGTTCTTTGCCATCAAATTGAGGCTGTCTCATAGCGGACCCTCCAGCAGGTGTTTGGAGGCTGTAAATCTCATGGGAAAAGATTGACCATCTTTCACCCTCTGAGCCACTGGTGGATTCAAACCACCCCCCTTTAGGTTAGCAGCTTGACTCCCTAAAGCTACACCATCAGAGCTCTATGTAAAACAGACTAGTCCCTATATTTCTGCAAAAACATTTTCCATGACGACAGTACATGTTTCTGGCTTGATTTCTCTTCCTCCCTAGTGTACTCAGGAATATAAAATGACTTTTAGTATTAGGTGAAATAAAGTAAAGTAACAAATCAAAGACAGTTAAAACAGATTCGTTGACTACTTGGATTTCTCTGTAGTCTCTATTAATGTGGACTATACCGAGTTATATAAGCACAACACTTATATTTTAAACTTGGGCCATGGCCTACCAACAACACTGGATAGACATTGCATCTTTGTTTTTTCACTGGCTAATTAATCATTTAAATACTGTTCATTGCTATGGAATCTTAATATCTAAATGCTAGTCTGCCTCACAGGGGAGCCCCTTAAAGAGTTTCACTGTTAGCCCAAAGGCTTCACTTCTCTCTCAGGTAGTTCAAATGCACGAGCAGCTTCTTGGATGAGAGATGAACAGTCACATCCAGTGCTGAAAACCCACTAGAGAGTCAGCTATGACTCAGAATTGACTTGGCGGCAGTTAGATGAGTATAATTCACAGTTTGGTCTGTGTAGTCTCAGAAGACTCAGGCCTTTCACTCTGACATTTCTTTTCCAGAGTGCTGCCTTGTGACATTTTAAATAGGGGGTGTAATTGAATAGTAGTTCTCAGATCGTCTACTTCATTAAAAACTCTAGGTGAGGGATAAGTGCAATCAGTTGGTAATCTGTTGTTAGTCCTACTCCATCTTGACTCATTTTTATAAAAATGGGAAGGACCTTTAGTCCTTGGGTGGCACAGATGGACTCTGTAGTGGTGCACTTCTGCACTGCACATGGCCTATGATTATTTAGACTCCATGGCAACCAACAACTACAGAGTGATACTTTAGATTATGCCTTTTCATATGATTTGGGTCCGTGTTCACTTTTTATATATTTAATTGGAGGTTTTATACTCATGTGAAGATTCTGTATTGCGTGGTGAGGCTGTTTCAAGGTAAATACTTGACTCTTTCTAATAACTACAGCTTCCCCCTGGAATAGAAACGAGGGGAAAATCAAACTATATATAGTACCCACTTGAATGGTAATACACAAAACATTATCAGTTTGAAATGATGGAAACATTCCATACACATTTTTATGGATTTTAGATCCAGAGCCCTCCTACATATGTGAATCATTGAATACATTACAGCAACTTTGCAAGGTAACCAGAAAAAGTATCTCTACATTTTGAGATGAGAAAGCAGGATTAGAAAGCTCTTATAAAGCTTTAAGGCCAGCAAAGTGTTCAGCAGTGATACGTTCTCTTTATAGCATAGTCCCCTCCTCCTTGTGGGCAGAGTCTGAATTAATAAAACTTAAGAGTAGGTGAGTAATAAAAAATTACGAATGTATTGCTTTCAAGTCTTAGAATGATACAGAGTG